TCCCCCTCTTGTTCAGCCGAGCAATGTCACCCTCGTGAGAAATTGCGCCTACATTGCGTCTAGTCACGCGTGGCGAAGATTACGATTCCACAGTAATTTCTTTTTTTATCCCATTCTTTCTAGAAAGCAATAAGATAGGAGAGACTCTTACCTGTATTGCGCAGATATATTGATATGCGCATGTATTTTTGTCTCGAGGATTGACAGTTATCGAAGAAAGGCTGTTCTTGTCATTCCATGGCTCGGTCACACTTGACGGTCCTATTTTCACTGAGCTTACCACAAAATCCGACGGGGAAACACGGAATGATGCATATGTGTTGTTGTCGGTACCTAGATTATTCCAGTATTTCAGTGTTGAAGGGAAAATACCAGCCAAAAGTGTTAAAAACAGCGCTCACCCCTTGCCGAAAATGGCGAATCTGCCACAAAGTCGCTGCCGCTTGACGTGAAACCTGGTAATACTGTAAGTGAGGAGATGACGCGCGCCTGGAAAATATTTGGGTTGGTGGAACTCCAGCTAACACTGACACAGTTTCACAAGAATGCTGGGTTGTGAACAAAACTTTCGCCCCAGGCGGGACTAGAACCCGCACCTCTCGCACAAAAAACTGACATCAGTATTTGCAGTCGACGCTGGCTAAGTCCACCAAAGTGCACCATTTACCTCACAAGGGAGGTCTTTCAGGACATGGAGCGCTTTTTCGAAATGGTTTTCTGCATGTTGTAGGGGCTCATGCGAGGAACACAGAACCATGATCCATTTTTCCTGAACGCCTCCAGGAATGTCAAAACAGTGGTGAAGAAATGGTCCAGAGTTCGATCCCCGGTGATGACTAATTTTTGCAATATAGTTTGGCGCCCCAGATTGCCGCCAAATGGCGCCATCGTCGAGAATAGATGTCATTGTCGTGTTTTGCGGCAATTTGGAGGCGCCAACATAAATTGCAAAAATTTGTCATCACGGAGGATCGAACTTTGGACCATTTCTTCTCCCCTGTTTTGAGACTCCTAGGGTTCAGGAAAAATGGACCATGGTTCTGTATTCCTCACATGAGAATCTACAAAAACCAGGGAACCATTTTTGAAAAACGCTCCATGTCCTCGAAAGACCTCCTTGTTAGCTCGCCGCTCAGTATATAATACCTAACGTGCTCAACGTCTTGCCAAGGTCAGCCGATGATCAAATCGAAGTTTTATGTGCACTTTCGGGTTAGACGTGCATCACCTAATCGCCCCAGAAGGGATGAAAAGCTTGTCGGTTTGGAGACCTCTACTTCATTGGGCACAGTATAACACCTTTTACCGTTGCACTGTAGTCTATAGGGGACATCCTGTACATGGTACTACACCTGCTTGAATGGAGGAAGCTAGAAAATTCTCTTACCTGAACATAACATGATCCAGTCGTGGTTTTCACAGTTAAAGACCAGGCTACACCGAGATGATTGAGTTTTGTCGCATCTAAAATGTTTGATGACAAAATTGAAACTAACACTAGAAATCCTATAGAAACTTACCGATGGCTAAGCTGACAGTATTCCTATCAATGTAGATCGTGTTTTTGGTCACGTCAATATCGTCATCTGTAATAAAAAGCGAAAGTTACAAAGCTGTCATTACTCTCACCTCCAATGGATTTGGAAAAGTGTCCAGGTTTTGTGGTCATTCTACGCCGAATGTGCAGAAGAAGCCAAAGAAATCGTCAAAACTGTTTTTCTTGCTAACGGAAGAACCACTGAGTTATGCGCAAAACACGCAAACCTGGATATCTTGCCTATCTAACAATTGCGCTACCAAACGCGCTACTGAAGCATCTCACCTTGAAGCGAGGGATTACGATGAGTTGGGTTGGGTTTATAGTATAGTGGAAGTGAGATGCTGAATAATGCCCAGTGGCGAAAAAAGCAAAGAAATCCGTCAAAAGGCGCAAAATGGGACCCCTTTGCCCGTTGACCTCCGATAATGGACGAGCAGAAACCAACTAATAGGTAGTTTGCACGTGTTTAATCGATAACCACCATACTGCCAACAAATATCATGTTTTGATTTAGCACATTTCACAGAAAAGTTATAGTATACCGTCGCTCAAAGTGAAATATCTATTCAAAATGATAATCGAAGGGCGCTGCTGCTGGGGGCGGAGCACAGGCCGTGGCGGAGCTCAGAAAGGAATGGCAAGCCCTCTACGCTGCAACTAGCGCACCTTTGCCGTGAAAAGGCCACATTTCGCTTCCTCAGGCACCTGGCCACCACTGCTTCCTCTGGTGCATGCACTTCTGCGCTACGCGCACTTTACCGTAATCTCTCGCTTCAACTCAGAAGCCTTGAATTACTTTTGCGAGGCGAGCTACGGCAAAAGACAACAGGTAATCAAAAACGAGTCAAAACTTTTTTCGAGCAGTACTTTCCCTAAGTCACCTCTTTGCCTGAAGTGTAGATATGATGCGTCTTTTTCCCTTTTAAATTCCTGGATTTAGAAGGTTGAATTCATTCGAAACGGAAAGTCCTCATTTAATCTTGGGATTCAAGAAAAGCACGGAATGCACAAAATACCCTTTTGACGTGCACTTTTGGCCGATACTGTACCGTAACTTTATAACATCTCATTATTTAATATGGACTTGTGATGGCACGATGAGCGTGGGGGTGCTGGGTGCTTTCCTGAAGCTCTATCTGCGTAGACCTTTGAAATTCCCTTCAATGCGAGGTGAAACGCTATTCAAAGAATCCTCCAACCTAGATCTCCCAATTTGACCCCACTCCAACTCCCTTAAGAATGACACCACCTCATCAACAACTAACAAAATTAATACACGTACTCGCCGGAATAAGTAAAGAGATCATGTTGGCCTTATCAACATCAGTGCCAACCACATTGATAACGACTGATGACGCCGAGTCTTCGATATAAAATTGAAACACAGCCGATTTCGAGCAATCCTGAACAGTAATATTACCGAATGTTACACCAGAATTAGCAAATCTTTCCACAAAGCAGAGTAAGGTTTCAAGTCGCTTACCTGGATGGCTTCATCCATGACTAATGAATTTTCAAAGAGCGATGAGACCAACAGCGGAGGCAACTGAAATCATATATATCACGGGAATTTCAAACTACTGGACAGGAAAACTACTCTAGTATGATCACTTTCCGTACTTTCAAGCACTGAAAATCATTGCACCTCTTTCCACTAAAATTGAAAAAAATTCTCAAAAAATTGATGTTTGAAAGTTTACTTTTTTATTTCAGGAGGCGAATGAAGCAGTCCCGTAAGCAGTCCCCTCCGTGCAGTGCTACACCACTGCTACAAGCCCACGTTTGAGCCACTGATTACAGCACTCAGACTTACGCCTAGCTAAAACCGTCTACCGCCGCCTTGGTTTTTACCTCAACTCTTTTCGACCCTTTAACTTTTCCCACCTCTAACCACCAGCCTTAGAAAAGATGAGATGCAAAGAGTTATACGAACGTGTAACATTGAGAGGAAGGAGAGGATTAGAGTGTAGCGGTGGCTTCATTATTTTCATTTTTTTCCTTAATTATGCAGATTATTATATAATTGAAAATACTAG